GGAGGGGGGAAGGGGGAGGGGGGAAGGGGGTGTAAATTGCATAAGATCTTTCCCTGAACAGCATGGTCTGTCCCTTCCCATTGCTTTGGCAAAAGCAGAGTGATGATGTTCTTCTGTCTTTATTTTTTTTATTTTAATTTTTTCACACACACACACACACACACACACACACGAACTAACTCTATTTTATTTTATTTTGGAAATTGAGCAACTTTCTTCCCAAAGCAAACGTAGTCAAATGATTAATAACATAACTTGACCATAATTATAAGCATCTCGTAAAACTCATCAGCAGCAGTTATTCTAGTTGGTAGAATGGAGCCCCCATCTTTTTAATCAGTGGCCTAGAAGGATGGACAATTGAACTTTTAGCCCAATTTTTGTCACACTGACAACAAAGGGGACAATAGGGTGGGACCCCATGCTTCTGGTGCCCCATTTCTCCACCCAGAGAGATGGAGGAGCCAAGGTCCATTTCTCCCCACAGTCTCTAATTGAAAGCCTGGCCTGTTTGCCTCTCTTTGGATGCTGGTTGTGTTTGCTTCCCACAAAAGCAGCTCCAGCTGGCCAGTTTGGCAGCCTGGCTAAAGGACCAGCACAGAATCCACCCATCTTACCCAAGACAGAGGCAGCCCCCCAACCTCCCTGCCCCCCAACCCCACATCACTTCCAGGTTTGGATGGCAGAGAAATTAACCAGTAGGCTGATCAAATGCATTTTAGCCATTTGTTTCAGAGGGTAAGGGAACGGCGGCCCTGGGGAGACGAAGGAGCTCAGCCCGTTACTAAAGGGCCAGGGGTCCCTGAGGCCATCTAGTCTGTCCACATTGTGGTGGACATGTAGAGAAGCGAAAAAATACTGGGCAAGAATTCGAATGTGGTTGGAGAAGATGATGCAGCAACAAATTGACTTAAAGCCTGAATTGTTTTTGTTGGGTATCTTACCAGGGAAATATAGCAAAGAAAATGTATATTGATTATTCATGTAATAACTGTGGCTAGAATTGTATTTGTACAAAATTGGAAAGCTAAAGAAATCCCTAAAGATGAAATGGTGATTAAGAAAATATTAGAATGTGCAGAAATGAGCAGATTAACACTAGCAATTAAAAGAAATGAAGAATCCAATTATTATAATATATGGGGGTTATTTTATCATTGGTTAGAAAATGAATATGGATAAAAAGTATAAAATTAAACAATTTAGGAAGAGAAATGTTATAACAGGAGATACATATGTTAAGTTGTAATGTTAAAATAAGAATTGATGTATATAAAGAATTTGGTGGTAAACTATAACTATTATGACAGAAAAAAATTGTGCTGTCGAGTTTGTTCTTGATGGACTTCTGCAAATTATTTCTATAATGCTTTTCATTATGGAAAGCGACAAAACAGCTTGCAACTCTACATTTAAGGTAAGGAATGACCCCCTCAGGCCCGGGGAGAGAGGAGTGCAGCTGGTAGATTGTTCTGGGCCCATGGAGCTCAAAGGGGACCCATGAAGGGGAATTTTTAAAAAAAGTTTTACAAAACCCAATTTTTTTAAAGGAAAAGCACTATTGGATATATATACTTCATGCTCTGTACTTTGTGTCTATAACATACATGTCATTGCATCCCAACTATAATAACTGTTATGAGCTGGTCATTAATCTAGTATTCAATTCATTGCTTCTGAATATTGTTTCATTATTGTTTACCTACTAATGTGTACTGTTGCTTTTATTGTCTTTTACAGAGGTACCTGTCCTCTTAATATATTAGCAAGTACGTTTGAATGTAATTCATAAATGTGCAATTAGGACATTACTGATTTATGTGTCCATGTGTAGATGAGGGGGGGGGGAGATATTAGTCCAATTCTCTCGGCGGTCCTGAGGACAACTCATGTGTGTTTGGGGGGGGAGAGGCTGGATGCACGCGCGTGTGTGTCCGTGTGGAGGGGGTCTTCCATCCCCCATGTTTTCGGGTGGGGGCTCCGGGCCAGGACGGGGCGGGACAGCTCTTTCCTCCTTGCGCAACGGGCGGCCGGTCCGCTTCCAGCTAGGCGGTAGGGGGGGGGGGGGGGGGGCGACTGTCTCCGGATTGGCCGCCTCGCACCGCCGCTCGCCTGGGAGGCTCCGCGCCCCCCTTGCCCGAGCCTCCCCCGCCGCTGCTCTCGCCACTCGGAAGGGGAGCGGGAGACGAGGAGCCGGAGCGCGGGCAGCGGCGGGGCGTAAAGCCGCCAAGCGCCTGGCCAGTGAACAGTAACAAAGTTGGAAGGGATCTGGGAGGTCATCTAGTCCAACCCCCTGCTCAGGTCAGGTAGCGAGGTGGGGCGGGGGCTCCCTCGGCGCCTCCTTCTCCTCCGCGGCGCCCTGCAAGACGGGCCGGCTGAGGGCAGCGGAAAGAAGGCGAGCAGAGCCCAGCAGCGCCGCCTCCTCAGCTGCGAAGGACCGTCCGGAGGGAGCCCGACGGCCAAGAGGGAGAGCGGCGGCCTCGGCACTACCAGCACCGCCGCTTTGGCTTCTTCGCCTCCGGCTCTTGGGAGCCCCGCGCCGGCCATGGAGGAGCCGTCGGGCCGAGTCACACTGAACGTGGGCGGCCTCCGCTACCGCACCTGCCGCGCCACCCTGGCCGCCTTTCCGGGCATCAAGTTGGCCGGGCTGGCGGAGCCCGGCGCGGCGTCCCGCTTCGCCTACGACGCCCGCGCCGACGAGTTCTTCTTCGACCGCAGCGGCCGCCTCTTCGAGCAGGTGCTGCACCTGTGCCACAACGGCCACCTGCACGGCCCCACCGCCTGCCGCGCCGCGCTGCGGGCCGAGCTGGCCTTCTGGGGGCTGGCGGAGGCGCGGCTGCCCGCCTGCTGCTGGAGCAAGCTCTGCCCCGACGACGAGGAGGAGGAAGAGGCCGAGGGGACCGGCCGCCCAGAGGACCAGCGCGGCCTGCTGGAGCGGGGTCCGCGAGGGACGGGCGGGCGGTGGGCGCGGTGGGCGCCGCCGGCCTGGGCTCTCCTGGAGGAGCCGCTCTCGTCGCCCTGGGCCATGGTGAGCCGACGGGGGTGTGGGGGCTCCTGGCCTCGGGTCGCCCCGGTCTGAGTATCTTCTCCCCCCACCCCCAGCAAAGAGCAGTCGCGGAGGGAACAGGCGCGCCTGAGCCAAATGTTGAAGGTCTTTGGGCCTCTCTGGGGATGGGAAGAGGAGGGGAGAAGGGGAGCTGAGGATTGCCTGCCACCCCTGCCAGTGGGCATCTGCCCAAAGAGCTAAGGGACCTGGGGAGGGTAGTACAGCTTCAGCCCAGGCAGGAACTCTAACCATAGTTCAGAAGTGCCATGGAATGGAATGGAATAAGGAATGCGTTAGGAATAGAATAGAACAGCACAGCATAGCACTAGGAATAGAATAAAATAATAAAATAAATGAAATGAATAGAATAGAATAATGGAAGGGACCTTGTAGGTCTTCTAGTCCTGTCCCCTGCCTAGGCAGGAAACCCTACACCACTTCAGAAAAATGGTTATCCAACATCATCTTTAAATGAAGAGCCGAGGTGGCTCAGTGGGTAGAGTGCAGTACTGCAGGCCACTTCAGCTGACTGCTAGATCAGCAGTTCAGCGGTTCAAATCTCACCAGCTCAGGGTTGACTCAGCCTTCCATCCTTCCGAGGTGGGTAAAATGAGGACCCGGATTGTTGTTGGTGGCAATATGCTGACTCTGTAAACCGCTTAGAGAGGGCTGAAAGCCCTATGAAGCGGTATATAAAAATCTGCTATTGCTATTGCTAAAGCGTCCAGTGTTGGAGCATTCACAACTTCTGAAGGCAAGTTGTTCCACTAATTAATTATTCTGTCAGGAAATTTCTCCTCAGTTCTAAGTTGCTTCTCTCCCTGATTAGTTTCCACCTGTTGCTTCTTGTCCTGCCCGCAGGTGCTTTGAAGAATATTTTGACTCCCTCTTCTTTGTGGCAGCCCCTGAGATATTGGAAGACTGCTATCATGTCTCCCCTGGTTCTTCTCTTCACTAGACTAGACATACCCAGTTCCTGCAACCGTTCTTTGTATGTTTTAGCCTCCAGTCCCCTAATCATCTTTGTTGCTCTTCTCTTGCCGTATTCCAAGTGTGGCCTTATCAAGGCATTATAAAGTGGTATTAACACTTCAAGTGATCTTGATTCTCTCCCTCTGTTTATGTAGCTTAGAACTGTGTTGGCTTTTTTGGCAGCTGCTGAACACGGCTGGCTCATATTTAAATAGTTGTCAACTAGGACTCCCAAGATCCCTCTCACAGTTACTACTATTGAGCAAGATACCACTATACTGTACCTGTGCATTTTGTTTTTCTTGCCTACATGTAGAACCTTACTTTTTTCACTAAAAAAGTTTTAGGAAAAACTTTTGTGTTCCCTAGATTCTCTGCCATACCCTGTATAGCATTGTCAGCTTCCGTGGTTGTGAAAATTCATGGTCAGAGGGTCTATCAAGAGTTAGTGGCTTTGTGGCTGTTTTGTAATCTCTGGAATTTCCCAGTGGTGTCCCTTTCCCCAGGCTGACCAATCCCCAATGCCTTCGACCATTCCTTGAACATGCTCCGATATGTCAGTGTTTCTCCTAAAATGCCACGCATGGTGCAGTGTTCTGGGTCAAAATAGAGAAAGGAGCAGGTTGCAGGCATGATCCCGAGATTCTCCTGTGGATGTGGCCTCCACCGACGCCTTGTCTTATACCTGCATGGTGCTCCTGCCTCTTGTGGGCCTTCTGTCCACCACATCTTTTCTCCTCCACTGCTGTTCCTGGTCCTGCCTATTTCATCCCCCTTTGATTTTGTCCCTCCAATTAACCCCATCCTTTTTCTTTTCTGATCCTTGTTTTGGGATTCTCTAATCTCTAACAGAGCTCTTCTGACAATTGGAGGGCAGGTGGGAGAGCTAATTTAGAAGCCTCCCTTAGAAGCAAGAGAAGTTCAAATTTGGCCAGAAGATCTGCTGGGATTTGTTTTCAGGGTCTCCCTAGAAAAAAACTAATAGGGAGCCGGTGGATCAGTGGCTAAGATGCTGAGCTTGTCGATCGAGAGGTTGGCAGTTCAGCGGTTTGAATCCCTAGCGCCATGTAACTGAGTGAGCTCCTGTTACGTGTCCCAGCTTCTGCCAAACTATCAGTTCGAAAGCATGTAAAAAATGCAAGTAGAAAAATAGGAACCACCTTTGGTGGGAAGGGAACAGCATTCCGTGAGCCTTTGGTGCTTAGTCATGCCAGCCACATGACCATGGAGACGTCTTCAGACGGCGCTGGCTCTTTGGCTTTGGAACGGAGATGGGCATCGCCCCCTAGAGTCGGGAATGAGTAGCACATATGTCCAAGGTGAACCTTTACCTTAGAAAAAAACTGTTTGACACCATAGAGATCTATCACTGTCATTTAGTCATGAATATTCTTAAGTGATGAGTTATCGGTCTTGGAAAAGGACGCCTTTCATTTTCAATGTTTCCTGGCCCAGCCATTTGAAATCCAGAGCCCAAACTCCTTCAACTAGGGCTGCAGAACACCTTCTGGTGACCAAGAAATGTATGTTTTGTTTTTTGTCTTCCTTTTGTAGGCTTTTCAAGGAGGAAAATAGGAGTGGAAAGTCTCCAGGGGGCCCAAACTACGTCACCAAAGCCCAATGACAGAAGGGTTAAATGATGGTGGTTTGGTTTCGGAATTTAAAACTGTTAGCCTCCTATAGACATCCTCCCATTATCCCTACCACTATTTGTTTTTTTAATAGTATTTATTACATTTCCCAACATTAAAAAAACAAAAAAAAAACACATTTACACTTGTAACAGCTTTTCCATATCGGTATACCTATTTTTCGTAACATTCCTATTCACAAAAAATTATATCTCCATATCAGTATCCTAAGTTATATCCTTATTTAAATACTCTCTATAACCCTTTTACCCTTTTTAACTTAAGTTCTACATTTACTCTCAAGCCAGGAATACCATCTATTCCAAATTTGATAATACTCGGCTTCTTTCCTCTCCTTCATTTCCATAGACAGTCTATCCATTTCTGCACATTTCATAAATTTTCCTTCTTATAATCGGGTCTGATTATCCCTACCACTATTTGATGGGAGGGGAAGAACTTAATCATAAATTAAGAGAAGGGAGAAGTGGCACATACCGGGGTGGGGGGGAGGTGAATGTAGAGTTGTATGTAGGTTTAAGGTGAAGTGATGGCCCTTGGCTGGTGGTTGTGGCTGTGTTCCTCCTCTGGGTGATTTACAATCGAGTTGGGGAGGAGATGCGCCTGTCAACTGACATGGGATCTCTCTCTCCTCCCTTGTAGGGCTTCGCAGTCATGTCCCTCCTGTTCAACGTTGCCCTCATCACCATCCTTTGCACCAAAGGAGGCCAACGTGAAGACTCCCTGGGACACCACGACTTCACCCACACCCACCACCTCTCAGTGGAGTCATTGTGTCCACAGAAACCTTCTCTCCTCCACCTGGAGCTCTTCTTCGTTCTCTGCTTCATGGGTGAATTTGTCATCCGGCTCGTTTCCTGTCCAGACAAAAAGAAATTCTTCCTGAAGCCCCTGAACCTGGTCGATTTCCTGGCTCTTTTCCCAGTTTGCCTGGACCTCTTTTTCAGTGGACGTGGACACCAGCCTGAGGTTCTGCCCTGTTGGCTGAACTTGTTCCGTGTGGTGTATATCGTCAAACTCTTGAAGGTCTTCAAGCTGCTGGAGACCCCGATGATGCTGAGAGTCTTCCCCTACATGTTTAAGTCCGTCTTGAAAGAGACGGCCATCCTGATGTGGGTTTTCCTTTTCGAAATCCTTTTCTTTGGCACCCTCGTATTGTTTGCTGAATTGATTGCGGGTGACCCAGAATCGCTGTTTCATGACATTTTCTCGTCCTTCTGGTGGGGTGTGATCACCTTGACCACCATCGGCTACGGCGATATATACCCCGTCCAAACAGCTAGCAAAGCAATTGCGGCCTTAGCGGTGCTTTGTGGCCTGCTAACCATCATTATCCCCATCCCCATCTTTTTCATAAAATTCAAGCATTATTATACCTCCGCCGTAATTAAGGAGAAGAGGAAGAGAGAGGAGAAGGCGATGCCGACCATGGCATCCTCGGACGTCTAATGCAGGGATTGAGGTTTTTATTTGGGGAAGGAAGCCCCTTTCCCTTCAACACCTCCATGCAGAACCAGCCCAATTACCATATGAGATGCACCTTTTCCCCTCAAAAAAGAGGGTAAAAATCTGGGTTAATTGTTCTCACTGTCAGGAAATTTCTCTTTACATCTAAGTTGCTTCTCTCCTTGATTAGTTTCCACCCATAGCTTCTTGTCCTACGCTCAGATGCTTTGGAGAATAGCTTGACTCCCTCTTCTTTGAGGCAGCCCATGAGATATTGGAAGACTGCTATCATGTCTCCCCTAGTCCTTCTTTTCATTAAACTAGACATACCCAGTTCCTGCAAATGTTCTTCATATGTTTTAGCCTTCCCTAATCATCTTTGTTGCTCTTCTCTGCAATCTTTCTAGAGTCTCCACATCTTTTTTACATCGTGGTGACCAAATCTTGATGCAATATTCCAAGGGCGGCCTTGCCAAGGCATTATAAAGTGGTATTAACACTTCACATGATCTTGATTCTATCCTTCT